TGACTTTTGCGATGGAAAGTCATATTCAGTGGTTATCAGTCACTAGCTGAGGAAGTGATGCAGCAGTGCATGCAGGTCACTTTGAAAGTACCACGTGCTGTGCGGTATACACAGTAGTCTTGAAAATTACAGCCGCACTTCAGTGACCAGGTTCTGCAGACAGCCTAGAGCACTGCAGCGGTCTGAGACACTCGGAGGTCTTTTTCCTTTCCAAAGGACTCCATTTTCATCTGGGGATTGCTGTGGTTTCTGGATGAGGACTCCAGTCCAATCCTGCATCCCACATGAGGAGCAACTGGTTTTGACCTAAACCAGCCAAATCAGAGTGAACTGGATCGAACTTTCTAACGGTGCTAATGATTCAAAGACAGACTGCCTTTCTGGGCACCTCCAGCAGCCATCTTTGGTCCAAAGGAGGGCCTAAGTTAAGAGAAGGCCACGGCCAAGAAAGACAGGCAGGAGAAATAGAAAGGCAGGGGTCACTGGGCTCATCCCTAAGCCACTGGATCAAGTTTGCCTGAAACCAACACTACCTTTGGACCTGACGGCTCTGTGTCTAAGCCATTTTCAGTGGCAGTTGGAGCACTGGGCGGATCAGGACACTGCTGAGGTGACTGATTTGATTTCCTCTTCTCCAATAAGTTTATACATCAGTCAGTGAAGTGAGCCATCAAGAAGAGGCTGTGGTAACTACACGATCTTAAACTTGTACTTTTAAGAACTGTACGTCACAATCACGTGAAGAGACTTCATAGATCCTGATTAAATCAGAAGTCTGCAAAGATGGGTTCAGGAACCAGGTCTGAGATTCTAACAGGTAGCTTCAGCTGAGAGCCCTGGTCCATGTCCCTCAGGGCAACCTGGGCACGAAGTGTTCCAAGTACGTCACTCCACAAAGAGGTGGAGAAGAAAACAAGGTGGCTGACTGACAGCTTGTAGTGAATGCAAACCACACTTGTACGACAGGAAGGCACGAGTGCACATTTTGTTCTCTGCTCCACAGTTCCCTCCTTCCTCCCCCTTCCCCTTTCTTCCTTCATAGAAACTCATCACACACCATCACAGGAACAGACGCCATGGCAAACCAGAAGGGTCCTTATAGCCCGGGAAAAACAGCAAATTAATCTAGCAGTTAACAGTAAGACCTGGGGAGCCATGGTAAGGACAGCATGGGGCACGGTGTGCACAGGGAGAGGGCTCCTGGCTACTTGAGAGGTGATGGAGGACAGCCAGATCGAGGAAGCATCAGGTTCAATGCCTCAGAAAGGAAGGAACAGAAGAGACCAGCAGGGGAAGGGAGAATAACCCTAGACAGGGCAGCTGAGCATAATGCGGGACCTGGATGGCGAAAGACTTCACAAACCACGCTAATACATTTGGCCTTCATCCCAACAGCAGTGTAAGTCAACTGCAGGGTTATGAGCATCCAAAGGATGGGCTCCTCTTTTGGAAAGTGCTTGTGCTGCTGTGTAGGGAGTGCAGTGGGAGAGGCAGTGGACAGGCGCCGTATGAGGGAGACAGGGAACCCAGTTGACTGGAAGCAGACAGAAGCCCAGACAGAATGGTGGACCGAGGAACCTAGGGCACTGTGACTTCAGAGTGGACTAACCTGAGAATTACTGAGAGAGGAAGTGGAAATGACAGGACTTGGTGATGGTCATGGGTGGTGAGTAGGAAGAGAGAAAGCAAAGGTTTCTTGAATACAGAACATCAGAAGAACATAGCTATAGGAGATGAATCTCATTCATCAGACACGGAAGTGAAGCAGTGGGTATGTGTCTCAAACAGAGGATAACGATACGAGCTAAAGATCCAGAGCTGACAGTCACCAGAGAATTGATGGTGACATCTATAGGATGAACCATGGTACCTGGAAGAAATCTGTAGAGAGAAATGGCTTAGGACAAAATTCTGGGGAACACTTAAAAGCAAGAGGAGCGTACGGGAGGCTCTTGCAAAGAAAGGTGAGAACACCGTGTGACACACTGAGAATGCAAAACAGAAGAATGACCAAAGGTGGGGAAGCCCCCAAAAGGTTGAGGAAAGTTATTTTTAGAGTGATTCACAGTGTCAACTGCTGAAAGCGCAGTAAGAGCACTGAAACCCACAACGTGGGAAGTCCTGGAAGCATTATCAGGAGTGGTCTGGGAAGGGAAGTGAACTTTCTCAGGAAGTTCCCCAGATGGAAAAGAGAGTGTGTGGTGCCTGGAGCGGGATGTGGGCCAAGGGAGGTAAGGATGAGTGAGACTTCCAATGCTCATTTTTTTAATGAAAAAAGATGACTAGATGTTACAGAAGTGTTGGGTACTGGGAAGAATGGGACTCAGAAACGGAGGGGTGGCTCTCCCATGAGCTGAGAGAGAAAGAACCGTCGGGTCAGGGCACAATGGGGACAGTAGGTTTTATGGCTGAGGAAGTGGGACATCCTGTTCAATGGCTCCTCTCTTCCCTGAAGGCGCAGGCCTGGACAGAAAATAAGAGCGGTGGTGGGCAACACACGGGTTTAAGGGGGTGGAGTTTTGAAACAGTTGTTGAGAAGGCGGCAGCTGAGTAGGGAAACTAAGCCAGCCAGGCAGTGCCAAGGGTTTGCTTTGAGATGGACGACCACGAGTGCGCACACTTGGTGTGAGCTGTGTGCTTCTGTGAACTTCCTCAAGTAGGGCTTGGGAGCCATGAACAGAGCACACTGCGTGTACTACTCACTCACTGGTCTTACCTGTTCACTGACTGAACTACCTCAAGCTAGGTACAACTGGCACTGTTTCATCCGATATCTAAGGCACTAATGTTCTTTCTCCAGGAAACCGCCAGAAGACTGAGCCCTAAGGAAGCAATGTTATAGACACATCAGAGAAGACAGTGAGGAGGAGGACAAGCAGGAATAGCAGCGCATGTGGAAGACAACGCCGGCTCAGGATTCTTGATCTCTAATCATGCTGAGGCCTTAGTTATGAATGTGTTGCAGTGTATGTGCTTACCCTAAAATAACACCAACCTTTTAGCTACATGACAGTTTGCTGAGCTGTTACAGAAATTCCATTTATGAAACAAAGTAATTTTACAAAATTAACCTAATCTCATTGTTACACTGGCAACACTGAAGTTACTTAGACCCTAACTTCAGCAGAGAGTGAATTCATTGGACTGTATTAGAAACCCTGCAGAATCAAGGGGTGGACCTACCTGGTCCTTGAAGAATAAGACCGGGAACAGCTTCAGGTGGCAGTGGAACAGATCAGGATGCCACTAAACAGCCTTGTGTCCACCAGTCTAACTGCTGGGCTTCAGAGTCCCAGGAGAGACACTTTCAGGCTCCCTGTGATAGCGGAGGGCATGGCCCTTTGCCTGACCATCCTAGCAAATGCCTCCACTTACACACAGGTGAGCCTCTCTCCGTCCGCTCACACGCAGAGCTCCGCACCTGTTCTCATCTGCTGTGCTTTCTGCTTCTTTCAGCAAGGTGCATCAGAGAGAGCAGTGCAGAATTAAATAGTACGAAAGGAACTGGAGTATCCAAACAGAAAATTATTGTCATAAAAAGGGCAGGAAGCACTGACATGCTGCAGTATGGAAGAACTTGCAGAACTTTCTCTGAGGAGGAAGAAGCCAGACCCCAAAGGTTGCATAGCATATAATCCCACTTATGTGAACCGTGAAGAACAGGCAACAGAGAATGGCTTCCCAGCTTTCTGGACAGAAAGGAGATGAAGACCCATTGTTAAGGATGGCATTTTCTTTGGAGGATGATGAGTTCTGTAACCAGACAGTAGCAAAATGGCTGCAAACCATGCAAACACACTCAAAACTACTCAATCATACACTTTGAAAGTCTAGTTTCATGTTATAACTTGTATTTCAATACAAATAATTTTTTAAAGGGAGGGGGTTTAATGAGAGGTTTGGTATAGAAAGGAATTGCTCTAAGGGCCTACAAAAAGCATGAGATTAGGTGTCATTGTCCTGGCAGAGACAGAGGGCAGAAGAAAAAAGCACAGAAAAGACGTCCATAGGACAGGTGACATCCGGGTGGTGGGCGCTGTGTTGGGCTGCAAGAGAGGATGGTAGTCTCCACGGGAGCGGGAGTTCCTCAGGACTTTCTCTTGCTGGAAGAACTTGAAGAACAAAAAGGAGTAGACAATGGCAGAGTTTGCTGAACATATGACACTTACAAGGTGGACAAGCATGATTACTGGGCTACCAAGGACAAAATACGAAAACAGAGTATTATAGTCTAAAGTAGCACGGGAACCTAAATACTCAGAAGCTCCTCCATCTGTGAGACGCGTGACACAATTAATCTGAATGGAATGGCAGATGCTCGGAGCGTACCGGGGCGGCAACATGGTGACCTTCATACAGCATTAAAGTTGAACTTGAAGAGTCAAGACATCCAATGATGTCCAAAGAAACACTACGCTTCACAGCCATGAGAAGGACAAACACACAATTGGAGCGGATCTCAAATATGTATTCAATCAGCAACCTTCACCTCACCCTGATGTCTTGATTAAGTATCGCAATGCAAATACCCACACATTAAGAGAATTCCAGCTGGTAAACATGACCTGGACATTTGCCAGAAAATATTTGACATACACACACTCACTGTGTTTTCAGGCAATAGGAGGAAAAATGCGGCCGAATGTCTTTCTCCTGTCAAGACACTGTGGGAGCGCTCCAGAGTTGAGGTGTGTGAGACGAAAGCATGACCAGCAGCGTTAGAACGCGTGTGCGTGTCCGCCATGTGACCCCTGGAGGGGGAGAACAGACACGCAAGCTTCACCCAGCTTGCTCAGTGATGGGCAGCAACTGGATGTGGTTAAAGAAGCAGGCACAGTGCTGGCATGCGCAGTAACTGTGAGCAGTATTGACCCTATGTCAGGATTGCTTTGAGACCTGTATTTATGATAAAAAGATATTGGGGGGGGGTGAATTTCTGTTGGGAGACGCTCCTGTGTGACACATGCAACAGACAGTCCTTGTTTAATACCTATGCACTTAAGAAAAAACAATGCAGGTAATTACGTCCTTGAGAACACAAACATGAAAACAGGTTTTGACATCCCACAAGGTAAGTCACTTTTCCTTTTTGAAGAGTACGTGTTCTTTTTTTTTAGGTAGTAAGAAAGTCACTTCAGCCTGAGGCTCACTCTTAGCAGTTTTACTATGTTGCAGCACTATACGCCAAGCTTTGTAGGAATTCCTTACTTATTTAGAATAAAGATACACAGTTTGCAGCCCTTGACAGAAAATCCATCCTCACCATCTACACTTGCCCCAGCAAGGCTCAGACCTCCCTGGGCTTTCATTTCCTCATGCTGTGACTTTTCGTCTGTGTTTTGGTCTTTGAGTCAGCCTCGAGTGCCTGCATTCTGTGAACTAAGCACATTCCTTCAAAACCACAGGCATCTACTTCTCCTGGATTTGTGACAATCACAGCACTGTCCTGCAGGTAAAAAGAACTGCTTGCTTTTTCCACCGCACCTCTGATTACGTCAGGGAACCCCGCTTCCAGGGAAGAGAATACAGTGTAGCTTCTGTCACCTTCCCACATCCAGGTATTCCCCTGGCGCTCAGTGGTGACTTCAGGTTTCCTCTGCACAGGTCCACAGCTCTTACCACCAAATCCTACTACAGCTATGCCTGCGTGCATGGCAGTGGCTTCAAGGAAAGCACTTTCACAGACCACACCTGGGGGCCCTTTCCTCGGAGCACCCCAGAAGATCCTTCCTGCAGCCTTACTAAGGAACTGCACTTAACTGTCGTGGAGGGTGCGATGGCTCCAGGGCACCCTCCACTCCAAGAGGGTCAGGACATCATCCTTCCTCAGCCGTGCAGCAGGAATCACTCCTAAATATTCCACAAAATCGAGTCTGGGCTGTGCAAAGAGAAAAAGGTTCACAATTTGCTCTTTCTTCTGACTATACAATGCCCAGAGAAAGAGGATTATAGCCCTGTGTGAAAGCAAAGAGTCAGAAAGTTAACATGAGAGGTAAAGGACCTCAGATGGTCCGCAAGAAAGGCATGAATCCTTTTTTCTGTGTTGTCTCTTTTTAGCTGGCTGCAGGGCAGACTTTCTTTAATGACAGACAAGGCCTTTGGCATTAAGAAATACTGATTGAAGTTCAAGTACAATAAGCGAGGCACTGGAGGCTCATGCCTGTAATTCTAGCTATTTGGAAGGCTGAGATTGGGAGGATCAAGGCTTGAGGTCCACCCAGGCAAACAGTATAAGGTACCTCATCTCCCAAGTAATCAGAGCAAAATGGACTGGAGGTGTGGCTCAAGCAATAAGAGCACCTGCTTTGATACCTTAAAGCAACTGAGGCCAATAGGAAAAGGGGACCAGGTACTAGAGAAAAGGTTAGATCAAAAAGAATTAACCTAGAAGGTAACACCCACGCACAGAAATCAATGTGAGTCAATGCCCTGTATAGCTATCTTTATCTCAACCAGCAAAACCCCTTGTTCCTTCCTATTATTGCTTATACTCTCTCTACAACAAAATTAGTGATAAGGGCAAAATAGTTTCTGCTGGCTATTGAGGGGGGGAGCGGGAGGGGGTGGAGTGGGTGGTAAGGGAGGGGGTGGGGGCAGGGGGGAGAAATGAACCAAGCCTTGTATGCACATATGAATAATAAAAGAAAAATGAAAAAAAAAAAAAAAAAAGAGCACCTGCTTTGCAAGTGTGAAACCCTGGGTTCAAACTCTGGTTCCACTTAAAAAAAAAAAGATTCCCTTAAAGGCCACGTACTGTACTGAAGTTTGAAGCTCCCACCCATGCACCCTCTACACACTTTTTTAAAGGAAGAACTTTCCTTGGCTCACAGATTCAGTCCATGGCCGCCTGGCCGTGTGCCTGGGCAGAACATCATGGCGAAGGGAATGTGTGAAAGAGGGTGGGCAGAAATTTGGCTTTTTCTTTTTTTTTTAAGACCAGGGTTTTGTTTTTATGTAGCCTGGGCTGGTCTCAAATTCTTGATTCTCCTTCCTCAGCATCCTGAGTGCTAGAATTACAGGCATGCACCTCTACACACAGCCTTAATGGTTTTCAAATCTTCCTTAGCATCAAACTCATTTTTTGGCTCTCAAAGACGCATTATATTTTCAAGGTAACTTCACCACCTTTGCTAGGTGCTGCTTTAAATGTGCACAAGCCTGGAAACATCAACAGCAAGGCATGTTGATGAAATTCTGTGAAATACTTAAGACTTCCAATAAGTGAGGGACATACAGATTTTGTGATACCTATCTCAGTCTGTGCTCAGAGCTGTGCTCCACGATGTCCGTGTTTTGGCTCTGGGTCACGGAGGATAGGGCTCTTAATCTAAACATGAGTCAGCCGGTCTTGGAAAAGTTCAGTATACTCCTAATCCAGAAAGCTTGAAGGAAATTTTCGGCAGCTACAGATGTCAAGGCACAGAGTCATGGGTCACACTGGAGAAGCAGACTGCATGTGCAGAGAATTCTGTTCACACACAAGTTCCAGAAAATGTCAAGTGTGCCATGACACAGCAAGGCAGGTCAGGGCACAGGCTGCAGGATGTCTAAACAAGAAACAGAGGCGGCTCTCGTGAGCCTGATGACACAGTGAGCTTCGGGTTCTGAAGAGGCAGGCAGACTGTGTCCACCTCATTGTCCCCCGAAAGGCAAATAAGTCAGAAAGCACATCACATAACAGGAACAGAGAGAGGCCAAGGGTGTCTGAGTCAGGTGAAACTCCAGCATGAGTTTTCTTGTTCTGACCGGGTAAGGACAGGGATGGAGGTGGAAGACAGGTTGTTCTGAGGAGATACAGCAAGTATCTCAGTCTCGGGAGGCTAGCCTGCTTATCTTCCCTCAAACAATCACAAATGAGGAGCCATGAAGAGCTACTTGCACCACACAAGCTTGGTACCATGTCGCTTTCAACCCCATGACATCTGCTATGTAGTCACACATCCCTTTGGTGTGTGAGGTTAACATGAGAACCCACTAATCAAGTTCTCACTATAATTAAAAATGATTTCTGATTACAGTTAGCTAATTTCTGCTAATACAGCTACCCTATCAGCAGGACACAGACCTACAATGGTGGTAATTTATTTCAAATGTGCCATTATGCACTGCCTCTGCTCCCTCTTGGCTCTTCTCTACAGAGAAAGAAACATGACATCACACTGACCAGAAAATCTCTAATTCTCATGAGGCAATGTGTTGACAGAGCCCAGAGTGCAGCCCGGAGTCTGATGGTTCTCAGGCCGTCCTGGGTTGTTCCTCAGGGTCAGAATCCATATGAAGCCCTGGATACACAGGTAGACCAAGGCTCAGTGTTACCCTCTCTTACAATTCTCCCTAGGTTTACCCCTGGACCTCTGCTCATTTAAGCCACTCTGAAAAACCAGCACCAGTGGTTTGGGCCAACGGCTTTTGGTTTCCTACTAAAGTAAGTCAGGTTTTCAAGGAAGAAGGGGTATCTATTTGTAATATAATATAATGAAGATGGTCTCCCCTTTATAGTTATTCAAACAAAGTTATGAAAGTGTGTGCAATTCCTATAGATACACTGAGGAATTAGCTACTCTCATGTCCATTATTTAAAATGTAAATGACAGTGTCTCAGTTGCTTTGGCTATGTGGAAATGAATACTTGGTAAAACACAATAAACAGTCACATGAATTTGAGCACTGCTTAAGCCAATTAGCCATGACAACTTGGACCTAAACCACATGGCAAACACTACATACAGTCTTCATGTACAAGGAAAATGGGTAGCTGCTCATAACAGTACAGGTAAACTGCTATAAAGTTGTGTCTATTATCCTGGGACTTTTAACATCACAGGGTGCTTTTAGGGGTCACAGACATTGAACTGTCTAGAAATGGTCTAAATAGTAATGGCACTATTGTCAATTTCATTTTCAAACTTTTATCAAGAGTGAAGAAAACAAAGCATACAAAAAAGTACTGCCAACAGGCTAGTCACTCAGGCGTACAGAAGACATGCCTAGTACCAACTCTCCTCTGCTGGATTCAGTCCTACTCACACCCCCAAAGGACAGAGTGCTTTCCATCCATCAGGACCATGCCCATACAGACACCAAGAAAGGAACAGCCGACCTCAGTATCCTCACCGGGGGGGATGTTCCCAGAACCGATCGATACAAAGCCAAACTTGAAAGGCCATTCCTGGGTGTCCCCAATGCTCGGGTGACACCAGAGTGAAAACCTCCCGTGGCCTACTTGACGCTGCGCACGACCCTCCGGCAGTGGCTCGTCCTCATCTCCTCCAGTGCTTGCTCCAGCTGCTGCGCCAGGTGCAGCAGGGTGGCCGGGTCAGTCTGCAGGACGCTGGTGCTCTGACCGCCATTCTGGTTCAGGTGGAGCTTCATGGTCACAGCTGGTTTAATCTGCTGCCGGAGGCTCCTGCTGGCCAGCTTCGTGGCAGTGGAGAAGAGCACAAGAACTTTTTAACATCCCTGAACACAGACATCTGTGATTACCTCACACAAACAAAATCTAAGATGGAGCAGACATGGAACTGAAAGCAGACTTGAAAACCTTTGGAGCGCAGATAGTGAGACTATAAATGAAAGCTCACCTGAACATGGCACAAAAGATGCAAACCATAAAGACAAAACAGAAATGTAACTACATCAACACTAACGACTCTTATTCAAAGGACACCTAAAGATGATGAAAAAAAACCAGCCATAAACTGGGAGAAGATATTTTGCAACACACATGTAATAAAAATATAGTAGCCAGGCATGGTGGTACATGCCCATAATCCTAGCTAAGTAGAAAGCAGAGGTAATAGGCCACTCCGAGCAAAAATGTGTGACCCAGTCTGAAAAATAAAGCAAAAAGGTGGCACAGCTCAAGTGAATAGAACACTTGCCTAGCAAGTGCAAGGCCTGGAGTTCAAACTCCACTACCATCACCAAAACAATTAGTATCCGCAATGTTTGAGCTCTTTTATGTAATAATAAGAAAAACACCCCAAAACCCAAGAGAAAAATGTACAGAAAGTCCAAATAAGAATTTCATAAAGAGAAATGTAGGAAAATGCATTCAACTTACTTATACATCAGGAAAATGGCCAACAAAAGCTCATGAGATCACTTTACAGACTAAACGCACTGTAGGTGCTGTGACAGGAAACCCGCCCCCTGCTGACGTGTGGGGTGAGAGGCTTGCTCTGCAACAACCTGCTACCAGCCATTGTGCTCCTAGGCCTGTGTCTTCAACTCACACAGACATTTATTCAGAATAGTATTTGCTTCCAAGAGACCAAAATTAGACACATGTCAAGTAGTCACTAACTGAATGGAGGAACTGAGACTACTCATACCATGGATTGTTCACTAAACGACAGGGAAAAGAAAGTAACCACAGCCACAGGAACTGTCACCAATGAAAAAGGAAAACTGTCCATCAAAAACCGAAGCCACAGAATATATGCAACTTTTAAAAATACACAGTTTAGCAACAAGTATTTGTAAAAAACTAAAAAGAAGAGCACAACATCAAATCCAGGATAACGGTTTCCTCTAAGGTCATCAAGACAGATGTGACTCAAAGGGGACACGCCTTAGTCTATTGCTGAGCTCGATGATAGGTATACTTTTTTTAACCTGAGTATATTCTAAAATTTTAAAAAAATACGCTCTACTGACAACTTCCTCCACACACACAAACATAAAAAACAAAACAAAACCTATAAACAAGGACCAAGCTGAAGGTAATGACATTCAACCCTAGCACAACTGTGCTCTCTAAAAGTTGTTCTCATTAAAAGGAAACAGGCCCACCTTGAGGAAATAGCTGATCTGAAAGATGGGAACTGTACAAGATGAGTCTCAAACACCTTGTTATACAAAAAAGCAGGAAGATATAAAAAATGTCATGTCAAAAGACAGAAGGCCAATTTGAATCCAAGTAAGCAATAAAGCTAAGCCTGAACTTTCAGGATTAATTTAAAACAAAAGAATATCCTTACTGATAACTTCTTCTAAATAATTGCAGGTAGTCTGGAATTCCAAGAGAAGCCAAGGTACTGACTGTTCCAAGGCTGAAATCTAATGCTGCAGATGCCTGTCCACATCCCTGTGGACGAGCTTAAACAAAACAAACACAGCACTCAGAGGTCAAGTGTTCTGGTATATTTCTCCAACACAGAAAATTACAGCTATGGCAGATGTGCAGAGAACAAATATGATGACTTAAAGCACTACTTATTCATTCAATCACGTGCTGTTTATTTTTGGTTTTTCTTCGGTAGCTGCATGGACAGTCAGAGACCAAACGTATCTAGGTGTGAAATAAGCTACGAATTTTTGCTCAAAGATTCAAAATCACTCATCTATACTTTAATTTTTAGATACAGTATCTACATTAACAATCTTCACAGGTAAGTATTGATGATGTTCTTCAAACATATTTTTCTAGAAAAAAGTTATATGAAATCCTAGCAAACACTGGATAAAACATAATTGGACCCAACATTTTTCTCAGAAGTTGGGTAAAACTCGGTACTACAGATGCCCTGTCCACATGGCTATGGATGTGGCTTTTTTTTCCCCCCGGAACTGGGGTTTGAACTCAGGGACTACACCTTGAGCCACTCTGCCAGCTCTGTTTTTGGGTTGGGTATTTTTGAGATAGGGTCTTGTGGCTGGTTTCGAGCCAAGACCCTCCTGACTTCTACCTCCTGAGTAGCGAGGATGACATGGAGGAGCCATTGGCACCAGGCCAGTATGGGGTTGAAATAAAATGTCATTTGTCAATGCAAATTAGGGAGACAAGGAAAGAGACATGTTGCTTGACGGCCATGTCTCAAGGCACTGAAAAGGGCAGCATGGCAGAAACACCAAGCAGGCAACGGGGCATAAAATTACGTTTCACCCAGCTACAGCTCCTGTAACAATGCAGCCTCTAGTCTCACGATGTGAGCAGGACAGGAAAAGGATCTCTGATGCAGCTGTGGGTGTGGCCCAGCAGTGACATCACATCCGCCCAGATGCATTGGCTCACCCACGCCTCAGCCAGGGCATCAGTGGGCTGAGGACTTCCCACGTTGGGGAATGGCCCTACCAGAACAACTGTAATGCCTGACTGTTTCTCATAAGCTCAGAAGATGGGGACTCGACTCACTGCCAGTCTGCAGGAGACAAGCCAGTCACTCAAAAATGAAGGTGGCACACTCTAAGTTAGTCCCTACTGTTTAGCTGCTATTACCTGACCTGCCTGCTCCTGTACAAAAAAACCCATCATGGTTAAAACCTCTAGTAATCACTTAATGACCCAGGAACTCACCAGCCCTTAAATGATTTAACCGTGACTGATAGCAATCATTCAGTATACCCTCAACCTTGCACTGTAACTAGTACGTATTTCTTTTTGACACTGGTCTTGCTGTATTACCCATGCTGGCCCTGAACTCGTGATCCTCCTGCCTCAGCCCAAGTAGCTGGGATTACAGGTGTGTGCCATCATACCTGGCTCCCAGTTTGAATGCAATTCAAACCCATTTCACTGCTAAACAGGCAATCCCAAGTTTAATTTTAGGAAATTCAATGTCTTCATTTCTAATTCTAAAATGTCTTTCACAATGGAGAAACTGACAAGATGAAGGGTAGAGAGAGGCATCAAGGATGATCCCAAGTATTTTTAGCCCACGTCAAAAAACAGACATACCATCTACTGAGGTGGGGGACTAGAGAAGAAGCACTTGAGGGTTTGGGAGGAGTAAGGAGGCAGGCTTCAGTTCTGGATGAGCTGCACCTGCACGTTTATCAGACACCTAAGTGGAATGGTCAAATAGGCTTCCAGCCTGAGAGCTGAGGGACAGGTCTAGGCTGAAGATACAGAGGTGGGAATTCTGGGTAGATAGGGAGCACACAAAGTCATGAAATCAGATTGCTCTGTAGGAGAATGTAAGAGGAAAGCAATGAAAACTGAGATGTTCAAAGGTTGGTAAAACGAGGGAATCAGAAGGAGATTGTGAGGCTGGATGAGAACCAGAGTGACTTCCCAGAGGGCAACTGAAGATAAGATTCAGAGCAAGGCATGGACAACCATGCCTTATTATCATGCTTATTAGCAAATGCTAATAGGGAGAGCAGTGTGAAGACTAAAAAGCCAAGCCTTAACCGATGTGTGACAGGAGAGTGGTGACAATGGGGCCTAACTCAAGTAGGTTCCAGAGAGCACAGAGGAGCAAAGGTAGACACAGACCACTCTTCAAGGAACTCTGATAAAGGAATACAAGGGGCTTATGGGGGTCATGACGGGGTTCTGACTGAGGCTGCAGGGAATGATTCAGTACAGACACAGAAGAGTGAAACAGTTGTTGGAACCAAGTTCCTCTGGGCAAATGGGGGTGTGCTGAAGCCTCGAGGGAAGGGATGAGGCTCCTAGACAGGAGCAGGGGCATCCCACCAACAGTAACGGGGCAAAGGCAGACAACTGTGCACTAACGAGGATAGGGTGGCCCACGCAGCAGAAACACGAGTTCTCTTTTGATTATCAGGAAACAAAGTCAGCAGCTAGGAGTGTGGAGCTGGAGGGGCTATGGAGGCGCTGAGGAACAAGGACACGTAAGACATGCCTGCCCTCGATGTGCCACTGTGGAAACAGTGTGTTCAAGTAAAGTCACTTTCCAAAGAGATCACATGGGTCCTGTGACAAATGCTACCAGACTTAACTACAACTGGCAGACACGAAGTTTCCCCAGGGGAGACAGCCAGACAACAAATATTTCGGGCTTTGCAGACCATACAGCCTCTGCCCAACTACTCAACTTGGCCACAGACAACACGTAAACAAGCATGACTGCGTCCCAGAAAAACCTGGTAGAAATAGGTATAAGTCAGGACTGTCCCACAGGTATAGCTGGCTAGTCCTGGAGTTAACTGCAATTTAACAGGGAAGAATGAGGAATCAGAGTAATGGCAGCTGGAAAAATATTCCATACAGAGAGAAAAATGTGTGCAGGTCCACCTTCACACTTAACTCCAATGTCGCCCTGGCTGCCCAGGGATGATGGATTCGTCCTACATGACTGTCTCATGTTACTGTCTCACCCAAGAACCCACAGGCTTCCCACTGTCGGCTGTCAGGTGTAAACCGTAACTGAATTTTTATAACCAAGTTTGAGTATCTTATTTCAATAAAAGCCACAAAGAACCCTCTGCAGCAGCGGTCACCAACTCTGTTACATATTATCTGGATGAAAGGGGAGAGTTTAGAAATGTTGGTGCCCAGGTCAAACTGGGTACCAGGAGACCAGATGCAGACTCAGACTTTGTAATGCTCCCCAGGCTATTCCAACACTCAACCGTTTCTGAGGACTGGTGCAGGGGACCCCCATATTCAGCTCGAGCTGCCTCCTCATCCTTCCAAAGTCTCACTCTTTTCTGGTACAACTTTCTGGGTTACATTAGGGCACATGGAGCTTCACAGGCTGAAGCACTCCGCTGGCACTTTGATTTACACAATTGCACTCTTTCTCCACTTCAGAACTGTCTCTAATTACGAGTTATTTTGAGAACACCAACTATTCCTCACCAGATCACAGACTGTCTAGTTGAAAAAGCATCATACTTCTTTGTGTCCCCAAACATTTAGCACAGCTCATCAGCAAGGGGACATTCAATAACCATCTATTAGCTTATCTTTCACTGCTGATGCAGGGCTTCATGCAATGGTCTGAAACTTCTTTTTATTCATTTGTTAATTTTGCTGAGCTGAGTCTCTCCATGTTGCCCAGCCTGACCTTGACCTCTGGGTCTCAAGTGATGCTCCTGCTCAGCCTCCCAACTAAGTGGGGTCTGTGCACATTGCTGCACCTGGCTCTTCCTCTTATTTATGTATGTGGGGTGTGTGTGTATGTGGGGTTTGTTTTTGTTTTTTGGTGGTATTGGAATTTGAATTCAGGGTCTCATGCTTGCTAGATAGGTGTTCTACCACTTGAGCCACTCTGCCGTTACATAGTTTGAAAGGATGAATCTCACAAAAATAATGCAAAAGTTTCCAAATACAAAAGTTTTTTTTGTATTGTTTTGTTTTTGTGGTGCTGCGGATGAACCCAGGGCTTCACACATGCTGTACAACTAAGGTACACCCAGAGGGCCAAAAAGGAGTCCTTACTGAGTCCCTCTATCTGTAGAAAGGTAGAAAGCAGGTAAAGTCTAACATTAGAAGCCAGGATGTGGTTGCCTTTGGGAAGCAGAGCAGGGGCAGTGATTGGGAGGCCAGGTGGAGGCCTCTGGGGCACTTGTCACCAGCATAGTCATTTCATGGGTGTCTCCACCCATACTTAAAATTCAGTACTACCGACTGGGCGCCAGTGGCTCACCCTGTAATCCTAGCTACTCAGGAGACAGAGATCAGGAGGACCAAGGTTCAAAGCCAGGCCCGGCAAATAGTTTGCGAGACCCTCTACAGAGAAAACCCAACACAAAAAAGGGCTGGAGGAGTGGCTCAAGGTATAGGACCTGAGTTCAAGCCCCAGTACTAAAAAAAAAAAAAAAAATTAAGTACTACCTAAAAATCTGTATAACCATCACTTTTCCCAAAATAACCAATTTCTTAAAAACTATGTACACTGAACGGAGTTGAACACATTAAAAATAAAAGGAAATGAATTCTGTAAAATGGTCTGAAAATGAACCTTAAAAGCAAAGTTTGAAACCACAGCTTGGTTAAGGTTGTAAATTATACAGTAAGTACGCCCCTTAAATGTTCTGAAGTAGTCAAACCAAATCTTAAATAATTCTATTTTGTCAGGTTAAAAACCAAGCCATACCTGTACATCTAGCCGCCACTCAAGGCTGTGGTAGCTGGGAAGGTCCGGGGCCAGCTCACTCAGAATGGCCCTGATCTCCTTTCTGTTGTCCAGATACAGCTGAAGCAGGAGTTTGTTCAATTCTTCAGGGAATCCCAGAACAAGAACAGAGTCTTGGAAATCCAGATCAGAAATCTAAAAGTGAGTTGAGTTTAGTAGAACCCCAAAGTTCATCTTCTAGTAAATGCTAAAATACTTACTGTACACAGAAGATGCATATGATTTCCCCTAATTCAATTCTGTCTACAACACTGCCTATCATTCCAAAGTCTGAATTATTGACACATAACAGTACTGTACTGACACAACAGAAAAGAGTTCAGGTGCCCAGGTCGGCCTCCTATTCACAAAATCAGACACCAATGACATGCAACAAAAATGCATCATCTCATTCTTCCGTCTCTTAGGATACAGCCACGGTGGCTTATGACTTTTAACACTGACTGGCAACAAACATAATTTATACAACAGGTATGTGTATCAGCAATGATGTTAAACACATTGTTTAGGTACAGCTTCACAAATTCTATTATAAATCATTAACAACACTATTAAAATACACAGATACCTGGCACAACTGTGATGTAGACAGGCACGCTGGACCTTTTTGAAGGATCCAGAAGTAGAAAACAGTCCACAGAAGCTCTTACCATGAGCTTAGAGCTCTCAGTGAGGAGATGCGTCAATCCCTCCACCCCATGCTGGACAATGTCACTGTTCACATTGAGCTTCCCTAAGAAAGGAAAGAAAAGCGGACAAATACGTTACTGTGATACTCATCCTTGTATCAAAGCCCTATTTAAAACAAAGCATTTTCAGTTACCCCATGTTTTCAAACACTGCAAGGAAAGAGTTTTCTCACTCCTCTCCCTCTGGGAGTGTCCCTTTGGAAGCCACAGCAAACACAGACTTGTGGGGAGCATCCCAAGCCCGCAGCCTTCTGCACATGCACAGGAGGAAGTCACAAGGGACTGACCTTGCTCCAAGGGGATCACACATCTGCAAAAGCAACTGACAGCTCATGCCACCCAACTACCTGCAGGTGGCTGTGCTCACTGAGGGCCACGGCCACAGTGAAGGGTTTTATTAAGCACCACAGAACTTCTGCAAGACAGGTGGTATTGTTTGTTTTAAGCATGAAGGAACTAATTTAAGTGAATCTTTAAAAATCGCACAGAGTTCTGCTTTTTAATTTTTTTTTCTTTTGGTGGTAGTGGGGTTTGAACTATGGGCTTTTCTTGAGCCATGCCCCAGCCCTTATTGCTTTATTTTTCAAGTAGGGTCCTATGCTTCTGCCCAAGCTGGCCTACCTAGACTGTGGTGCTACCTAAGCTTCCTGCATAGCTGAGATTACAGCTGTGAGCCACTGCGCCCCTCCTGTTTGTTGATGAGGGGTTCTCGCTAACTTTGCCCAGGTTGGTGTTGAACCGCGATTCTCCAGCTCTCCACCTCCCGAGCAGTTGGGATTACAGGCGTGAGCCTCCGCGCCCGGCCAATTCTGCTGTTTGTAATCTACTGCAATGGGAACAAGACCCTAGGACTCGCAAAAGCCCTAAGCGGACAGCACTTCCCGCGCAGCTTGCAGGCCAGGCTCCCCATCTTACTGGCGGCGCCGTCGTAGATCTTGGGGTTCGACCCTCGCCTCAGGAACTCTACCGCGATCCGCCCGAACTCGGCGACCACTGCAACGGAAGTGAAAGGCGTGAGCGCCGTGCTTCCCCACCCTGGCCCCTCCCCAGTCCACCGCCCAGCCATCCCCTACCCGCGCTGTCCACCCTCGGCAGGAAGGCCAGGTGTTCCTTGTGCTCCTCCGATAGGTCCAGAAGCATCTTGGCTGCACGTCCAACTCCTCCCGGAAGCGCAGACCCCGCCCTAGCCCACTTCCGGCGTCCTCGTCCAGGTGGAAAGAGGTTCCGGCGCGGCGCGGCAGTAGCCCACACTTTAGGTTCCGCCGCACGGCGGTGTCAGGGGCGGGGCGGGGCGGGGCGGGGCGGGGCGGGGCGGGGGAACCGGATGTGACGTGGCGGAAGTCTCCCGTCCGTTAATCATCCTGCAAACGTCCGTGAATGGCGGCTGGGGACAGAGCCCCTCGCGGGGCGTAGGTTAGCAGCGTCGCACTTTAACATTACTAAACTCTGTGCTGGGAATGGGTTGTCCTAAGGAGCCTGTGAGACTGGCCCACTCTTGTTTTCGTCAGGGAGACGGAGGCCAGTCTCGCAGTGGGGGCGTCTGTAGAGGAATTGACTTTCACAGCGTTTGACTACGCCGTAATATCTCGTTTAGTGCTCTCGAGAGCCAGGGCCTCCTTAGAAACTGAGAAACGAAGCTCTTTCCCGAGGCACCAGTGACAGCGGAGGCGGCCATTCGAGTCAGGCTCGCCAGCCTGAAAGCTGGAGGTTTGCACACGGTTTTCTCCTGGTTTTGTGGGGCTTTGCGCACGGCTCTAGTCCTGAGCTGCAGCCCCAGCCCCTCAGCAGGTTTTATGAGTGGTTCTAAGTCAGGATAAAGATGACAGCGCGGATGACAACAAGGATGGCTGCAGGATTCCGAGCAATAGCATTGTTGCTCTTTTGAGGATGTGAGAATTTGGTCCCGCTTCCACCTCTCCTCACCTGCTGGGGTTCACATACTGGAGACTGCGGTGCCAGTTGATAGGAAGGAGCCTGACTCTCCAAATCCGTCCCTTTGGTAGACGAGGGGACCGCAGAAGACAAAGGGAGGGGGAAGGAGAAAGGCTTCACAACCGTCTTCCATGCCTAAGGTGCTGGGGGCCCAGACCAGGCCCCCTCCAATGCTGGGCAAGCCCTGAGCTGCGCCCCATCAGGAGACCTCCTTCCTGTACCCTGAGGCCCCCGCAGAAACGGAAAGTGAAAAATTTCCCCTTCACATCCGAACTTTCCTCCACTGCGCACAGAAAGGCAAGGCCCTGAACTGGTGCGTTAGGTCTTGAAGTGCCATCTGCAGACAGCCCGTTCTGTGTAGACTGTGAAGTGCTGGTCAGCAAAAGGTGGTGCTTTTACTCATACAGTGTTTGAGAGGATGACTGTTGTTAATCATTTTCAGAAAAGGTAAAACACACCCTCCTACAAATACATAATCAAAGACCTCGTCAAAGAAGGAATTAGTAAGGGGACAATAAGAACCAGTTTCACCTGCTCAAAGGAGACATTCACCAACCGTCCCCTGTGGTCCCAGCAGTGGGACAGGAGGGCCAGGAGTTCCAGGCCAGCCCAAGGCTCCACAACAGTACAATTGTGTAGCATTACGTCTGTCCAATCCCGAGGGCACTTCTCAATATCATACTTCCAGGGCTGATGTGGGAAAAGAGCAAATGCCCAGTATTTGTGCACTTGACTGGTGGAGAAGTAGGCTTCACATGCACGGTCCTCTCCCACTTGCACTGTGTCTTTCCGTCTCCCTCCAGCTCATACACCTTCCTTCCCACTTATGCTCTGCCATATTGCTTTCTCTTTCTTGCAAACTCCACCACCAGATCTTTGCACAAGGTACTTCTTGGCTATGTTTGTGTTATCTGTAGAGTACTTCCACCCTTGCAAGGAAGTTTGCTTCTGAGATTTTTCATTACTTCAGTTCATTTTTAAAAATCATAGGCCAGGTGCTGGTGGCTCACACCCGTAATCCTCGCTACTCAGGAGGCAGAGATCAGGAGGATCAGGGATCGAAGCCGGTCCAGGCAAATAGTTTGTAAGATCCTAGCTCAAAAAAAAAAAAAACCCAACAATAAAAAAAAAAAAAAATGGTGAAGTGGCTCAAGGTGTAGAGCCTGGGTTCAAACCCTAGCATCACACACACACACACACACACACACACACACACACACACACACACAAAACAGAATTCACCCAGGCATGGTGGCTCATGACTACTCCAGAAGCAGAGATTGGGAGCATCAAGGATTGCAATTGAAGGCCAGCCAGGGCAAATGTTAACAAGACCCCATCTCAACAAAGTGGGCATGGTGATGCATGAGTGTCGTCACAGCCACATGGGAGACAGAGGTAGAAGGTCATGGTCTGAGGCTAGCCCAGGTGAAAGCAAGGCCCTATCTGAAAAATAATGAAAGCAGAAAGAGCTGGGGGCGTGCTTCAAGTGGTAAAGTGCTTGCCTAGCTCAAGGCCCTGAGTTCAAACCCCATTACTGCAAAATAAACAAGAACAACAACCACCCTAAAATTACAAAGCTGCTAGAAGAACACATAAGAGAGTATGTTTATAAGTTTGAATTCTTAGGGCACAAAAGGCATGAACCACAAAAAGGTGACAATTTGAACTTCACCGAAGTTGAAAGCTTTATCAAAAGACATCAAGCCAGGCATGGTGGTGCACATCTATAATCCAGACTCTCAGGAGGCTGAGGCAGGAGGATCACAAGTTTGAGAACAGCCTGGGCTACACTGCAGATCTTATCTGCAAATAAAGTAAAAAGGGCTGGGAATGTCTGCTCAGTGGTAGAGTGCCTGTTTAGCATGAGTGATGCCCTGGGTTCAATCCCCAGTACCAGAAAAAAACAGAGAGCACTAATAAAATGAAAAGGTCAGACAGGGACCAGAAAATATGTGCACAATGCATATATCTTATGAAGAACTTTTATCTGAGTATGTGAAAATCTACAAAACACAATTAAAAATATCCCAGTTTTGAAAATGGGCAAAAATATGCACTGATACTTCACAAAAGAAGATTTACAGATGGAAAATAAGCACATGAAGTGTTGAGGCTGCCATGTTGACACACGCCTGTAATCCCACCACTCAGAAGGTTGAGGCAGAAGGATCACGAGTTTGTTAAAAACAAAACAACTGTCCAACATTGCAGATGTCAGGGAAATGCAGTGGAAAGCGCAATGATTTACCATTTAAAACACACTAGAATGACTAAAATCAAAACCACTTATGACAACAGATGTTGGTGAAGTGTGTGAAGCAATGAGAAAAAGACTCATATGGAAAAGTAAATACACTTTGGAGAAGTCTCGGGCAATCATCGTGTAAAATGCACATTCACCCCATTACCCAAGAATTCAATTCCTAGGTATTTACCCAGAAGAAATGGAAACATATTCAGAGAAAGACTTCCAATTATGTTCAAAAGCGCTTTATTCATAGTGTCTCAAAACTGGAGATGATGTAGTGTTCATTGAGTTGAAGAGATAAACCCAGGTGCACCCGCAGGATAGAATACTACTCAGTAATTAAATATTAACCACTGGTGCCTGCAACAATGGATCCCAAAACATCAGTGGAGCAAAATAACAAGCGCAAACGTGAGCACCTGTGTGATCCGGAAATGTAACTGATGGACGGGAATCAGAATAGCCTTTGTCTGTAGCGGTTGACATTGACATTGACTTGGATCAGAGTTTGGGGAAGCTTTCTGAGGTTAACTAAAGAGTTTGCACAGATACATGTTTCTTAAACCCACTAAATCTCACACTTAATATCCATGTAATTCGCTGTGTGAAAACTTTTCCACATTTTAAAAATGCAATAGAAATGTAGCAGAAGTTAGAAGATGTCTGGGAGCAGCACTAGACATAGATGGTATTTGTAATCATTTTAGGGACTTATGTAAATTTTTAAATTTTAATTCGTTGTTTAAAGTTCTACATTGATATGATTTGACACTCCCCCAAGGCATTAAAACGAAGCCAGAAAGACAACAGAAGAAACATAAAAATTCTAACTCCACCCATCCTCTTGGTTCCCCACCCCATAGACAACTATCATTCTAAGTTTCTTGTGAATTCTTCCTCAGAGATATGGGAAAAGCCCTCTACTCACTTGGGTGATGGAGTCCAAGAAAACATGGTTAAACATTCAACGTCCTGTGGAAAGTTGTGCAGGTTAGACCTCTGGCATTAGAACTGTGGCCAGGATGTTAACAGTGCAAGTGGAAACTGTCCCAATTTGCCCAGATCAGGCTTGTGGTGACTTTCAAAGCATCATTTCCGGAGGGTTTTTGCACGTGGCCAGCCCTTGGGTAGTCAGATTAGAAATGCTCTTTTTGGCCAGAACTCTTGCTATTCCTAGCTGCTGAAGCCATCGCTTCTCTTTGAAGGCACTGCAAGAAACAAAACACAATCTGTCAGGAGCATAATTCCTATCTCCACACAGCCGGTGAGTCTTCACGCTGCTCTTGTAGCTGTGGCTGGGTTATCTTGTCACATAGCTCGTGTGTGAAGTAGAATCCAGAATCTTCCTAAAACCAGGTTCTTGTTGGAGTAGGGGTGTTACTGGATGCTCCAGGGAGGAGGGCTCCAAAAGGAAGGAGGCCTCTGCCTGGCCCTTGGGTACAAGTTTGTGATGTTATCACAAAAAAAAAAAAAAAAGCCAGGTGCCAGTGGCTCATGTCTGTAATCCTAGCAACTAAGGAGGCAGAGATCAGGAGGATCGTGGTTCAAAGCCAGCCTGGGCAAATAGTTCCTGAGACCCTGTCTCAAAAATCCATTCACAAAAATAGGGCTGTTGGAGTGGCTTAATGTGTAGGCCCTGAGTTCAAGCCCCAGTACCAAAAAAAAAAGGATTTTAGGACACATCAAGGTAGAGACCAAGAACATTTATTAGTAAAGCAAAGCAAAGACAGAAATGTAGTACACCACCTAGACATGGGTGTGTGCACATCTGGTAACAGATGCAATGTGTGCTGTACCATCAAGGATGTTTATATGGAAAAGTGGGTTTGGGGTTTGATCCTAACTCCCCTGGGATGAAGGCTCCCTTTGTCCTGGACACTTGTTGTATTCCATCATTCTTGCTGTCACACTGCCCGGAGATTTTCAAGGTTCATTTACTAAATTTTGGGACATAATGACATGAGTGTTAAAAAAAAGATGGGTCCTGTCAGATGTTCCCTTTCAGACAGATGTGCCTTTGCAATAGGCATTTTCCTTTTGTGCTCAAAGCAGCCACTTCCAGAGTTTCCCACCTAGGTGTCGTTCTCTAAGATACCCATGCTCAGTCCCAGAGTGCGCTGATCATCTGGGCGAGTGGGCAAGGTCAAAGGGGCAGAGCTGCTCTTTTTCCTTTTGTTCTTTTTACCAAATGTTGCAGCTTACTGCTGGGTAAGGCTTAAAGCAAAAAAATAAAATGAAGCCATTCACGAATACAGTGTTTGTCTGTGAACTCCTGGCTGCCATGTCCCACGTCTTATTTTCCCTGATCTGTCGTGTCTCACAGATGATATTTTCCCAGGCGATGCTAGAATTCAGAACCCACAACTAGAAGCAGAAAATCTGGTGGTGAAATGTAGAGTTCTCTGGGTTGACACTTTTCTATCTGTCCTTCTGAGGCATTCCTGTATCTCACCTAGGCCCTGACAACTTCTCCCCGCCCCCAAGCTCACATTAGGATTTGTGTGTGTGTGTGGTACTGGGGTTTGAACTTGGTTCTCATACTTGCCAGGCAGGCTCTCTATCACATGAGTTAGTCCAGATTTTTTTTTTTGAGACATGGTCTTGTGAACTATTTGCCCAGGTTGGTTTCAAACCTTAACCTTCCTGATCTCTGCCTCCTGAATAGCCAGTGTGTCACTGGCATCCTGCTAGGAATTTTTTTTCAATTTAACATTTAAAAAAATATTAGGTTTTTTTTGATGGTCTTTAACTGAAATGCAGTGGAACTTAATATTTTATGTCAGTTATTCTCTGGCTGTATACTAATAAAAACTTCTGCTGTGTAGGATTTAAATGTGCTTCATTATAGGAGGTTTTAACATCCCTTTAATTGTTGGGGTCCAGCCTGGTGTGGTTGCCCACACCTGTAACCCCAGGTACAGGGGTTACCTCCCTTTGGGAGGTCAAAGCCAACCTGGGCTACCTAGTGAAATTTTGTCTCAAAGAAAACCCCAATAAACCCAGGTTGGGGTCCTCAAGACCCTACCCTCGGTCCTCCTCCCTGTTAGCTCTCTCATCCTGGGCGAACTTGGCTTCTCACCACCTCAGTTCCCATGTCCACACCTCCTAAATCCTGACATTTCTTAAAACTTAACATCAATCAGCAAATAAGATTATTGGTCCAGTGGACACTTTCACTTTCACCTGTTCTCTCTTCCTCTGAAGCTTATCCCCTTCTCAGCGTCCTTGTTCTGACAGTGACATGCCATCCACCATCCCCAGAGATAGACAACTCCATTCCTGTTTCTCCACTCCCATCCCCAACTAATGATCACATTTTACAGATTATTCCCCAGAAATACCCCTCATGTTTGTCACTTCTCCTCCCCTAACAGTGTTTTAGTCTATTGCCTCCTCCGATCTCCACACATTGCCAGATTTGTCTTCAAAAACAAAACTGATCATGTGACGTGCATTATAAAAAGCTGTGTGGTTCACACCCAACTCCTAGCCCAGAGAGAGCACAAGAACACACTCTCCACATGGGCATACGGAAGGAAGCCACTTTCTGGAGACTTTGCCTCCAGTCTCACCTCCAGCCAATTTAGCCCCATCCTCTACAGTGCTTTTTGCAAATCCACTTACTTTCCTGGAAACTAAGTGTCTGGCTTGCCCTTTTACAAAGACATGCTACCACCTCTACTTGCTCCTTTCCTTTTGTCTGGCACAGTCCTGCAGCTTTTTAAAGGGCTTTCACTCACTCTATTAGGAGCAACCCTGCCTGAAAACACCTGAACTAGACCCATATCTGCCTGACTCAACTTTTCTGTTCTGCACTAACTTCTTGCTTTACTTGAAAGGCTGCATCTCTTTGGACCTCTAAAGTGGGTCAGCCATGCACACTGCCCATAAATCATCCCTTAAGCCTTGACAAGCTCACTCAGAGGCCTTTATTTAGTCTTTCTTCATATCCCACCTGACTTCACATGACCTCCTCTCTGCTCCATTCTGGTGCACATCCTAGCTCCTCTTGGTTCAGGCCTCACCCTGATTCTCCCCTGGCATTTGAACCCTGGCTTTTCTGCATTCATTCACAAACTGTTTTCCTTCTTCCTCTCTGCCAGACACTAGCCTATGTGCTGCAGATAGAAAAATGAACAAAGCATACAAGGCATGCTTGAAAGATTAAAAACAAAAGAAAAGAGGGAGTTCTAGTTTTAATGGAGCGCAGAAGCCTATTGGAGTCAACTCGTGTGCTTTCCATCTCCCCTCAATCTCCTCGAGCTGTCAAAGCCGGACCAGTCCTCCCGTCCAAACTGGACTTCCAGGCCATAAAACTCACCAGAATTGGACAATGAGCCACAAGGAGGGTCGGTTTCCAGACACACGTTAAGGATACCCTGTGATCTATTTAGAGCCTCTACTGTCTTCTAGACTGAGAAATTAGACCGCGTGACTTCTGACAGTGAATGAGAGGTCACTGTCATTTCTACAAAGGCCACTTGCACGTATCAAGCTGATTCACATTGTCTGCGCTCACTGCTGCGGTACGGACTTTGAGCCAACCCCAAGAGAGGTATCTTCATGAATCTAGAGGTAGAGTTCCTCAATGACACAGGGTCCAGCAAGTGCTGTGACATGACACCAGCCAAGGTGACTTGGTCCTGGTATGGGAGACTCCCCTTCCTGTACAATCAGGAACAACCAGTGACTGCTGCACCCACCCTGACCCACTTTTCCGGGTCAGCACTATGAAGGATTACATTGGGTTCTTCCGTCTCCCTGTGAGACTAGCTTCGTGTTGACACATGCAGTCGTCAGGATAGTGTGTTCACTCGTGTGTGTGTTTTTGTCATAGCTGGGCTGGTCACTTAGAGACAAGTACTCACACACCTGACTGCCGGGTTGACACAGGTAGACATAGGTACCTCTGTGACTGCTTGAGGGATGTGATCTATGCCAAGAAGAGGGTCTGGGGGCACGAGACGGTCATCTCCCCCTCCTCTCCATAACCCACCAACAAAGCAATGAGGGGCAGTGGACAGGGGCAGAAACCGATGGGGAGGAACAGAGGGTGTGGGTGAAGGGAAGAGAGAGAGAGGATTTTCTAGGACTAAATAACTCTGCCCCATCAGGGGCATGACAGGCTGACCACCACCCCCGCCTCTCCTTTCTGCACTGGCCTCTTCTAACTAAAGGTTTTCTAGCAGTTTCCTTCTTGGCCCTGGATTGCTGCTTCTTGATAACCCTACTCTTGATGGGGTACGTCTACACAAAACAGCAAGCTGGCTGGAGAACTGCTCACTAAACCCAAACATGAATTTGCCCCATGATCCCAGCCAGGAGAAACAGATGCTATCGCAGGTGTGTACCACCATGCCTGGCCGAATTTTTAAAATTTAATTTAGTGTCCTGTCATTTTAGATGACCTCTTTTTGTACATTCCAGAGATCGCTCACAAATTACAAACACTGAAGCACTGAAGCTGGGAAGTAAGTAGTCCTCATCTACTGACAACCTCAGGCTGGATCTTGAATTTTGCATGTCATAGTTCCTCTCACCTCTAGGTGGCAACAAACACACTGAGATAAAAGACCAATACAGAAAGCAAGGGATGCAGAGGAGCCTTGTTTTTCTCTGAGTAAGGGAAAAAGCCAATCAGGAATCTGTAGGTCTCTGATGGGGGCATCCAATGCTACCTCATAAGTAACGCGCAGGAGCTCAGATCTAGTGTGAGAGTTTCATTTTCAGCAACATCTAACCACCCAAACTTACCTATGGAAGCAAGTGTGCCTTGAGAGGTCCACTTGTGACACCCTTCTTGTTCTTCAACTCACCTCAATATTAATGTCAGTTCTAGCACCCTACCCGGTAAAGTTCTCCTCCCCACCGTGCACCCTTCTCAAGTCTTTGTTGTTCAACTCATTTTTAAATTCTTCCTTTCTTTCCTTCCACTTTCATTACTACTCCATCTTCTACCATGACTCTTTTGACCTCTCCATCCCAAATTTCAGGGTTCTTTCTGTCCCTTTTAGTTATCATTAACAAGATCTTAACTTTGAAAGCATATGTATCAGCAATGGATCTCATTTATGATGTTTTCCACAGGTCTCTTTTTCTGGAGAACTTAAGAAATCAGGTACTCCACAGATGGATTGGTTAAGAAAGAGCATCATTTCATTTTGTCCCAGGCAAATGAGGTCCTCTTTTTGCTGGTTTTTTGCCCCAAGGGTTTTCTTTTCTTTTCTTTCTTTTTTTGTGGTACTGGGGTTTGAACTCAGGGTCTATACCTTGAGCCACTCCACCAGCACTTTTTTGTGATTGGTTTTTTTTAAGATCTGATCTCATGAACTATTTGCTTGGGTGTGAACTATTTGCCTGGGCTGGCTTTGAACCATGATCTTCCTGATCTCTGCCTCCTGAGTAGCTAGGATAACAGGCGTGAGCCACCAGCACCTGGCAGCCTTATTTGTTTTTTGAAACAAGGTCTGTCTGTGTAACCTAGGCTAGCCTTGAACTCGTGATCCTCATGAGTCAGCCTCCTGAGTGCTGGGATTATAGGCATGCATCACCACACCCAGCAAGATATTAGTACATGGAAACAAGTAGTTTTAGCCTCTGTGTCATAATAGGGCTTCATGAACCCTTCTCTGCCCTAGACCCGCCTTTGTGGGGTTAAGGGGAGAATGTTACCTGGCCACAGCTAAGCAGTAGACTGCATTCTCCCTCGGGGTCCTCCCACTGTGCTCCGAGAAGGACGCGAAGGAGGACCTGAGCAAAGCATCCTGGCTGGGCGTTGCGTAGTAAAAGGAGGGGTGCGAGTACCCCACTCTGGAGAACGGCGGGAGGGGGACTTGTGGGAGGTATTCGGTTCTCACGCGCCTTTCTTTTGCCCTGGCTGCAGCACGTCTTTGCTTCTGCTTTTCCTGCTCGTGTCTGTGCGAGTCAGAGAACCTTCTCGTGCCTACCAGCGCAGGGAGCGTCAGGACCTGTCCTCTCGTGTCCCTCTGTGAAGCTGCCAGACCCTGGACAGGTTTCCTGCTTGTCACTTGGTCCTTGAGAGGGGGGAGCTTACTTTGTAAGTCCCTGTTCCCAGCCTTATGCCAGCTCTTGGAGGTCATTTTTGGTTTGGTGAAACCATCCACTAGCACAGTGTCCCCAACCTTTGCCCCGGACACCTTTGCTCTGCAAAGCTGGCTTTTATGAACGCTCTGACTCTGGGCTCTGAGGACCCACTGCTTTATTTTAATATAGATCCTCATGGAGATGGAGGTTTTCAGGAAAGACACGGTGGAGCACGCCTTGCTCAGCAAATACAGCGCACAGTCTCTATGCCCGTGTCTGGTGGCAATGGCCAGGGGCGTTTGCCCGGCTGCGTCTTTGCATTCCAGACACAGGACACTGCAGTTGACAAAGGCCTTCAGAATCAGCAGGTGGCCTGCTTCTGCGGCAGCGTGAATGGGGCACTTAGTGACATCGGCGTGCAGAGCTTCATGGCACCATGCGCGATAGGGGTGAACACCCACTGCCTCGTGGGGCTGTGCGCCCTGCTTCAGGGCCCACTCAGTGAGCTCTGTGTTCCCACGGAAGGCGGCGAGGTACAGGACCACCCTTTTCTGGTACCTGAGTGGGTGACACAAGTGCGGGGAAGGGTCGGTAAATTAAATCAGCAAAGGGACAACATCCTAGTCACAATGTCTGGTCTCCCTTCTACGTTAAGACTGGCTGAATCACACACACTTGCCCACAGCTCACATGCAAATCATTCAAGCTTAGAATCACGGGGAAGTTACTGGAAGCAAGTCAAATCCGTCATTTGATGTGTTTGTCTTCTCTGACTGTCCTTGCTTTCTGGCTTCTCAATGTCCCCACTGTAAACCGATGTAAACCACTCCCTCCTTCTCCACCCCGCAGACCGAAGCCTCCAAACTGGACAGCGCAATGGTCTCTGCGTCTTTCCTTACAGGCTTTCGTCACATGGCACATAGAGACCCTTTTATTCGGAAGTTGGGGGCTGCCCATCTTCTGTTTTCAACCATCCAACAGCTTCCCACGGCGAACGGAACTCATACTCCCACCCCGGTCTCCCTGGACTGCCGACACCCCTCCAGGCACAAGCTGGCTGCTCGGTGAAGGCTGTTCCCAGAAATGAGAGGGTCGCTCAGCACTGCCCGTGATGCGCTTGGCAGGAGGTTTGTGGCTCCACTTCAGAGAAGGGTCACACAGCCCGCCATCTCCCCATGTCTACTGCCCGTAACCGCTTTCCTGTTTGTCCCCATCTCTGATATGCGTCTGGCTGCCCGTGTATTTTCTGCAGGGGAAAATGCTGCGCCCAGAGCGCGTGGCTCCGGACTCTGTGGCCGGGAGATTGTAGCTAATCTGGGTTAGAAATTCACTCACTGGTATTTGATTGACACGTCACACTCTTTTTAGATTCATGAGTGCAAGGCAGCATCTCTGAATTGGCTCCACCTGGGACGAGAGGACTGTGAAAATGCCCCTCAGGTCTCTGGGCAGCGGCCAGGTGACATCTCTCCTCTCTCCTCTCCCTCGCGGCCTTACACTGCAGTCAGCGGTGTTTCAAAAGCAGACTGCGGCTTGCCCTTCCCGCCCTTTCGTGTCTCCCCAACTTGAAACAGAGTTCAAGTTCCTTTACGCTCTGCGTGGCCCGCGGGGCTCCTTCTTTACAACCTGTGACCAGCTTACCGCGTGGCCGTCTTCCAGGGCCTTGAAGCTGCGCTCTCGCCTCTGGGCCTTTGTGCATCCGCCTGCCCGAGTGCCAGGCCTTAGGTCTCCACATAAATTTCCCTCTCTCTGGGGTCACCTGACCTCCACATGCGTACCGTCACCCGACCCCACGCCGCGCACCCTACGGCGTCACCTGACCCCACGCTGTACACCCCATAGCGTCACCTGACCCCACCCTGTGCACCCTACAGTGTCACCTGACCCCACGCTGTGCGTCCTACAGCATCCTGCACCGGCCTGGCCATAGCACTGTCACACTGAATGGCAACAGCAGCCGAGCTTAACCTCCCGCTTACCATGGGCCGCGCACCCTTCCACGTCCCCGTGATTACTACGTCATTTAATCTCTAAGCAAGTCTGTGAGGCTGGGGACGTAGCTCGAGTGGCAGAGCACCTGCCCAGCACGTGCGGGCCCTGGCTGAATCCCCAGAGCCACAAAAGCTGGGGGAGGGAGGGAAGAAGAACATCTATGTAGCCTGGCATCGTAGAATACTCCTGTAACTCCAGCCACCTGAGAGGCAGAGGCTGAACAATCGCAAGTTCGAAGTTACCATGGCGACCCTAGCTCAAAAAATGGGGAGCATAGCTGGAGAGAGAAAATGCCTGCCCACCATGCACGAGGCCCTGGATTCGATCCCCAGTACTGCAAAGAATAAATAATAAATAAGTAAATAAAAGAACGAAACAGTCTACGAGATGGGCGTTGTCATCCCCACTTGCCAGGAGAGTGACATCCAGGATCGGTTTGTAACCTGCCCAGGGTTGCAAAGCTAAGGAGGGGGAGCAGGGCTTTGAGCCTGGACAGATGGCGCTGGAGTTCCTACTCCCAAGCATCTGAAATTCTGCTTCTCGGGTATCAGTTACTAAGTTTCTCTTTTCCTACTGTCTGTAGGGAAGTACAGATGGGACAGCGTCTCATTTATTGCTGTATTTCTCCAATCTTGCCCAGTATACAGTAAGTGCTCAATAGCTGTCGTTTGGGTGGAGGAACAAAGGACTTTTCAGGAGGCCATGTGTGTTCTCTGAGCTCTGAGACTTTGCTTAAGGGTTAGGCCGCGAGCAGACGGCTCAGCAGGTAGGGCTGGAGCTCAGCTGTCAGGGTCCTCGTCCTGCTCTGCCCTTGCTAGCTTGTGACGTTGGACGAGTTCCCACTCTGCTTCCTGACCTGTAGAAAAGATTCAAAGCAGCTCCCTATAAGGCCGGTGCCCCGCAAAACGAGGTGTATAAACCCAACACAGTGTTTGTCTTGAGTGGATTCAGCAAACACGCACCTTGAAGGGTACCCGAGCAAGACGGCTATTTGTTTGGATTCAGAACATGAGAAAAGAGAGTTAACCATCCCCAAACAGAAATAGTTGTAAAATATCTGAATATTCCACAAGACTGTAAGAGCTGCTACCCTACCCTGTCACTTTACACTCAGACTCCTGGCGAGCCAGGGCTTTTGTAGAACGTCATCGAATCACCCACGAGGGGGCGCTGTTCTGAAACCACCGCTGCACCAACGCCTGAAGTTCGGGGGGAAACTTAAGTGGCCTTAAGATGCCACTGCTTCTCCCAGCCTACCCGCCCCCCTGCCCCAGGGGCATGGCATGCTTCCTGTGTGCAGAAGCGTGGATGCTTGAAAAAGTACATGTGGTGCATGAAAATGGAACAGTGAAACCTGTTGAAATTGTTTTAAGAAGGGGAGAGAGGCGATGAGGAGGAACGACAGCGGGGATGAATGTGATCCGGGTGTGTTTGTATACATGTATGGAAATATCACAATGCTAGTTAAATGTTCTTATAAAAAGTACGTGTGAGCTTAGCAAGAGGTGGCCAGTGTGTCCAGCCAATCGGCTGCCATGTCAGTTTCTTTTTCTTAGAATAAGATATTTATCCTGAAAATAAGTACCTTTAAAAGTGTTAAGACGTATGATATCCAAACCAAACTGAAGTCACATATTTAGTTAGTATTTCCAGAGGAAGCGAACCTGAATTGCAACCCATTGCCAAAGGCTGTCAGCCCTGGTGGCCTCCCTGTGGTCTTGCTTCTGCAAATATCTCGGTTCTTGCTCAGTGGAATGGGCACGCCCGCTGTAGCGTGAACATCAGGCTCAAGATCTAAGGGAGGCTTACTGAACAGTTACAAAGTGAATCCAGCATCTGCTTCATCTCCGTACTTGAGTATTGCTCCTTCCTGGGACAAATAGCGTTGGACTTTAAGTTTTTGCCCGAGGAGACAGCCCATCAGGAACTCCTTCCATCCATCCCAGACATCCAAACGGAGGGTTGTGCCTATGGATCAAAAGAGGTGGTTTATGGCTTCAGTCTCCCACTGTGGTCTGGCAGTCCATAAAATTTCTTATGATTGCTTTCCCCAAACAGAGGCACAAGCTACATGCACAGTGCAAAGGACCCTTGGAATAAGGGGGCAGCGATGCTGTTTTTAACTTGGGACTTTGGGTCTTGGAAAAGCCATATAGCTTCTGTGCACTTCCCCCTTCTCTTCAGTGAGTGCTTGTAACGCTGAAATACATTTTGTAGCCACCTTACAACAGACCTGTGGACATTCAGTGCTGATATATATGTTACCATGTAAACTAAAGTCATTGCATCAAAGAGGAAGCTAAGCTGGGTGCTGGTGGCTCACGCCTGTAATCCCAGCTACTCAGGAGGTAAAGACCAGGAGGATCGTATTTCAAAGCCAACGCTAGGCAAATAGGTCTCAAGATTGCTACCTCAAAAATTTCCAACACAAAACAGGGTTGGCAGAATGGCTCAGGTGGTAGAGCGCTTGCTTAGTAAGCACCTGACTCTTAAGTTCAAACCCCAGTACTGCCGAGAGAGAGAGAGAGAGAGAGAGAGAGAGAGAGAGAGCGCTAAGCAACCTGGGGGACAAATGGCTTCCTTGGGCCCTCAGCTCACTAGTGGGCTGGACAGGGCTGTGGGATATCCGCTGGCTGATTTGCACACTTGCCCTTCACAAAGCAGAACCCCTTCTGTGTGATGAGCATCAAAGTAGCTCTGCTGCTGGAGAACCTGGCCCTTGCTTCTCGCAGCCCACCCTCTCCTGGTTTCTGTGAGGACGAATTCCCTTTGGCCGTCAGGAGTCTTTCCTTAGCCGTTCTGAACTCGTCACTGCACATCGCCTGAGACAAAACTCAGTCCTTCTCTGGCCCAACCCAAACCTCTCACTTCCACTCTGCTCGGCCACCTTGACCTTTCTCCTGTTCTCCAAACACACCAAGTCCATTCCCATCTCAGGACCCAGTGACAACAATTGCTTTTGCATGAAAGGATTTTCTAGACTTTCACGGGTCTGTGCTTTTTGTTCAACTTTCAACCTAAACATCGTGTCCTCACAGAGGACAACTCTTGACAGCCTTGTCACCAGCACCTCCTGCCCTGTTACTCTTTATCCATGGCCTTGTTTTGACATCTTCATAGCTCCTATCAGCAGCACTTGCATTCCTTTGCCCTGTTTGGAGGTGTTTTTCATGCACCGGTTTAAAAGGAAAAGTCCTTCAGGAGCCACACAGCCTGGCCTGGGCAGGGCTGACTACTTCTTGGCTGATTAACGAGCAATGGTTAATCTCAGCTATGCTGGTGGCTCCGTGGACCCCACGTGCCCCTCACTTCCAACTCTGGTCTCCAGCGCAGGCCTCCACTCCAGCTCCAGATCCCTTTCTGGAACATTGCCCCGAGGGGGTCATCCGAAGGACAGCTGGCCACTTTTCACCTTTCTCCCTCTGCATTCTTCCTCTTGGTGGCACTTCTGTCTTTCTTGCAGTGTAAGCAAGAAGCTCCCGGATTATATCCTACACTGGAAGTTGCTTTCGCCCTTCCTGATTTCTCACGGCCTGCTCTGACAGTCTTACCTCATGAATATTTAAGAACTGTTTGCTTGCCTGTCTCAACTAGCCCTGCTCTACTTTAGGCCTCGATGACCTCTCGGCTAAATCTGCTTTGAGAGGCTCTCAGAAGCCTCCCGGTCTCTCTATTTGGGTTTCTGTTTGAATGTCACCTCTTTTTCTGAGTGACTATCTGAGATGGCCTCCTCTCCTTGTAGCATGGATGGTCCTTGCCTTGTCCAGCTGTTCTTTTCCTCTGAGCTCTTCTCTCCATGTAAAATTGACCCGCTTCTGTTTGCTGGAATGAAAGCAGTAGAGGTGAGGCCACTGCTCTCGCCGTCCCCGGCGGTGCCGTCTCATGGTGGATGCTCACGTCCACGCAGCATTTGTTGAAGGAAGTTCTGCCCCACTCCCCGACCCCTTCTGCTGTGCACTGCCTCCTAACCCAGCAGGCCAGCCAGGTTAACCAGAGAAAATCACAGCAAATTCACTTAACCTAAGCTTTACATGATACAGAGCCTTCAGAATTAAAGACCCAGGGAAGACTGCCTGCTCTTATGTTTAGGTTTGATGAAGAATGGACAGTCGTGTAGAAATGTGGTCGGTGTGAATGTCAAAATCTAATGGTGAGATTGAGGTCGAGGACTCAGGCAGCCTGACATTCCGATTCTTCTCAGCCTCTCTGGGTTGCATTCCTTCCTTCTACCCGGTGTAGGGCAGGACTTCTCTGGGTTCCTCTTATGGCCGTCTATCACACAAGGTAGCCTCAAGAATTTTTTTATGGCTAGCTCCTACACGGAAAACTGGGAAGGCTATAGAAACACTTTTGGGTTTTATGGATTGATTTGGAAAAGAGAGGTTCTAGCTGTTATGACATGCCTTGGGGAAACAGGAATGCTGGTGTGTGATTTGCTTCAGGGGAAGCTGGAGGCAGGAGAACATCAGCGCGAACTTGCTCTGGGCTGCTTGAAGGTCTTTGATCTCCTTAGTTCAAAGTGCTCAGCCTGCCGAGCACCAGGCTTGGGGCACGGCGTTCTGAGCCCCAACTCTAATATTCTTTGAAAGCTCATGATATGCTGTGACCTGTTCTCTGTGCATTTTTTTGTTTTGTTTTGAGAGTGCTTGGGATGGAACCCAGGGCTTTGACACATGCTAGGCAAGTGCTCTACCACTGAGCTGCCTCCCCTGTTCTAAGTACTTTACATGAATAACTACTTTAAAACTCACAACTCGAAGTTGTAAGCGATGGTCCTATTTTTCTCCCTATTGACAGCTAAGGAACGTGAGTTACCAAGAGGTGAGGCAACTGACCAAGGGCTGATGTGCCCAGTGAGTAGAGGAATCAAAGCTGAACTGGGAGCCTGGCTCCTGTGCCCTTGTTCCTACTCTACTTTGTACCCACCTCCAAGCAAGAATCCAGTTGGCTCAGCGGCCATACTTGATGTTTCTGAAGAGTTTGTGCATTGGCTCTTTCTGCTTTTTTGGGGGGGTCTGGGGTTTGAACTCAGGACCTTGAGCTTGCTAGGCAGCTTATGGCTACCTTTGAATCAATGTGATGGCCTTGTCAATAGGAGCTGGGTTGTGTGTATGTGACTCCATTTATCCGTACAGATTATTCTAGGTTGAGACAGTAAGCCTGAAGCAGGGTAAAGTAGGAAAAGTTTGGGACTCAGAAAAAAAACTTACATCTTAGATTAACCATGCTTTGGCTCAGAAACTGCCCTCACCTGGCCAGGAGCCACCCATGCCCCTCCCCGCTCATTGAGTATCGATGGGAATCACCTGGTTCTCCCCTTCCCATAGGTTGGTATAGGTTTTTAAAAGCACCAGAAGAACAGAAAACACAATCGCTCGGCTTCCGGCTTCCACCTGGGCCTCCCTCACCGTGCATCCCTTTATATTTCTCTTCCCTAATTTTTAATAAACTCCCTTTATACCCACATGTCCTGCCATGGATTCTTCCCGGTGGGTCACAAAGAATTTGGAAGTCTTTTGATCACAGACTCCACCAGTGCAGTAAACAAGCCCATAGGAGGGAGGGAGGGAGGGGGAGGGGAGGAAGGGAAGAAGGGAGAAAGGGAGGGAGGGAGGAAGGGAGGAAGGAAGGGAGGAAGGAAGGAAGGAAGGAAGGAAGGAAGGAAGGAAGGAAGGAAGGAAGAAAGAAAGAAGACTGGTTAGCTTCATTAGTTATTTGGAGCCGTACAAAGCTTCTAAACTATGGTTGTCTTTGTTGGCTGGAATTTCCTAACACTAGCAATCTTAGTGTCACAAAAGGATGACGATAAGAGATCTTTAAAGAGCCAGCAGTGGAGGCCCAGAGGGCTGGTGAAGTGCTGAGGTCTCTGGCAGCTGGGAGTAGAATGTGACCTGGAACATAGGTTTTCAGGACTCCAAGACCCAGACAGCCTCTTCCTTCAGTTACTTCCCCTTTCCTTCCTTTGTGCTTCAGATTCTTTCCCTTCTCGCCTCCTCTGCAGACAGACACACTGAACCATCTCTCTCCCTGCTGGCCTCTCCCTTTCTGGATATTCTGTAGTCTTTTTTATTACAAATATTATCTCATATTAATTGTACAACTTAGTAGGTTTCACTGTGACATTTCCATATTGCATATATTGTTTTCATTATATTCACCTTTCTACTCCCCTCTCTGGCCTTCTCTCTGTCCCCTCTCCTGGTCTCTTTGTCCCCTCTCCCTAATAGTACCTCTTCTACTTTCAGTAACCTGTAGTTTTTTCTTTTTCTTTTTTTGGAGAGGTGGGATTTGAACTCAGGGCTTCACGCTTGCAAAGTAGTCACTTTACTGCAGTCCATTTTGTACTGGTTATTTGGAGCTGTGGTCTCATGAACTGTTTGCTTGGGCTGGCCTTGAACCATGATCCTCCTGAGCTCAGGCTCCCAAGTAGCTAGGATTACAGGCATGAGCTGCCACCACTCGGCTAACCTTTGAAGTGGGATTCTTTTTCCATTGCTCCTTACTAGACCTTGGATTGCTGCCTCTTGGGAGTTCATTCCTACTTGGGCACTGTTCACTCCACAGCCTGATCTGCATTACCACTTCATGCCCCTACACTGAAACCCTCACCTTGCCACGTTGTCTATGTTTTCTGCATAGACAAACGAGCAGTTCTGCAGACACTCTGCAAAATGCCTTGATACACATTCTCCGAGTTACAGACAATACTTGCCACAATCACTGAAATTTCTCTAAAGCTTTCTGGTGTCATTAGACCTTCTTATAAAATGCCTCATTCTCCTGGGCAGCACTGAAAACAAAGGATTTTATTTTTATTTTACTTTATTTTTGGTGGTACTGGGGTTTGAACTCAGGGCATTGTATTTGCTAGACAAGTGCTCTACCATTTGAGCCACACCTCCAGTTCTTTCTGCTTTAGTTTATTTTTTAGATAGGGGCTTGCACCTTTGCTCAGGGCTGTTCTCAAA